CAACAACAATAATAAAAAAATAATACTTTGCTCCTGTTTTCAGCATCATAACAATCATCATCACCTTTTCCTACAATCATCTCCATCATCCCGGTCTCCAGTCCCTCAGSCATCACCATCACCATAAACCTTCCTGTTCAGAGGAGCTGCAGGTTGTGGCATGAACACACGCTGCCTCCTGSTGGTAATCTGACAGAAATTCTGCTTCCTGAAACAGTTTTCGTGCAGTTTTAAGCTCTTTGATCTCTTCATGTAAAGTCCTCGTGGTAATCTCATCATGCTGTCGATGGATTAGTTTTAGTTCATTGTAGCTTGGGAGCTCAAATTACAGTCCCTATAATCTGGTTTTAATTGGCTTTTCTTGTATATTGAACAATGAATTAGCCTCATGGTATACAGCTTGTTTTTAATTGCTGCCACGGACAAAATAAAAAGCTACTTTAATTGSTTTTTTGCTTGTGATCTGCTCAAAAAAATAATAATACTTGTGCTGATAGCACTGTGTTGAGATTGAACAAAGTAAAGAAAAACAACAAATGCAAAAAGAGAAAATGGACTCATAAGTATGGAAAGATTTGCGTCATCAGAAACTCAATTTCAACACAACAAAACACAGTTTTTAAGCTAAAAAACGCAGATTCAAAACTTTAAAATTCAATTAAATTCAGTTTCAGTTGTGAAATTAATTTTCAAAACATTTAATTTCAAACTGTGGAAATCCAAATTCAGTGTGAGCAAATTAATTCAGTTTCTGATGGCACAGGTTTACAGCTGATTCTAAAAACATGCAAGAAAAACCTCCTGRAAAAGCACATTTGTCACTGAAATCTTAACCGTAGTAGGTGTACTTTATAGATTTATACACTCAAAAGAAGAACAGAAACATGTGGACTCCTACCTTAAAGAAGTCAGCAGCCTGTGTGACCAGTGGAGAATCCAGTTCTGGTTTTAATCTGATGTACTGGGAATACTGAAGGAACTGCTCCCGCTTTGGATCAAGAATAAAACATAAAAGATTAGAGTTAGTTGATGTTGGCTTGCATTTAAAAACAGTTTATTTATTTATTTATTTATTTATTTATTTATTTATTTATTTATTTGTGGCCAGCCTAAGGTACACATGCAACAATCATGCTGTCTAATCGGCATCTTGATATGCCACACCTGCGAGGTGGGATGGATTATCTCTGCCCCCCAAACACAGATTTTCACACATTTCTGAACAACATTTGAAGGAAGAAAGTATTTTGATTACACAGAAAAAGTCTCATGAAAAATAGGAGCAAAAATAAAAGTGCTGCATTTATATTTTTGTTCAGTCTTACCAGGCTTGTTATTATTATTATTATTATTATTGTTGTTGTTGTTGTTGTTGTTGTTGTTGTTGTATTTTAATGGTAATTAAAGCATGCTCCTTGACTTTCATTAATAGTGTTGTTAGCTTGTATTAGCAGATTTTTAGCTTACAGCCCCAAACCATAATTTCACTAAAGAATATTTACACAAAACATTATATTTATGTCACTTCACATAGACAAAAGCTAAAGAAAAAGGCCAAAACAGTAAAGTAAAASTTTGAGCGTACATATTTGCTGAAGCAGTCCTGCTGCAGCAGACTCTGAACCAGAGCCCCCTCCATGGCAGGCAGCAGATTCTGAGCGTGGAAGGTGCTGAGGCTGGTCCAGGAGGGGAAGATACAGTCAGCCTTCCCCCTGATGRAGGCTGGGGTGTCATAGAGCTCCAGCAGAGGCAGGTAGGTTTCTTCGACCCCCTTCAGGACCGCYACATACTGTCTCTCTGAGCTCAGCATCCTGCACCAGAGCAGGTACAACTTACTGCAGGGTGGACGGAAAGCAAGCGGGGTCAACGTGGGGGTGGGGAGAAAGGCAACCAGAGAAAACAGACACGTTGAACAAATCAGTAAAAAAACACATGAATTCACCTCTGTGCAGTTGAGCCAGCTCTATCCATCCCCGTGTCCCTCTCAGTCCTGCCTAACAGGACATGTTGTCGCGGCGACCCCGTGTGGTCCACCACTTCTTTGCTGCTGACCTCCACTCCTCGAATCAACACCCCCCCACCTCCTCCGCTGCCCCACCCGGGGACGGCCGCGGCCAGACTGGTGGTGACGACCGGGTCGGCTAACGTCTTTCGCCCCAGCCAGGACAAAGGGGAGTTACGGCTCGGCCCGCCGACGGGGGAATCCGGTTTGGGGGTGGCGTTGCCTCGGCGAGGGGCCAGAAGAGCCTGGAGGTCAAAGCTCGGGTGGCGCTTCCTGGGGGGCTTGGWGGGGAGCGGAGTCTCCGCAGGCTGYAAGGTCATTGAGACGGTGAGCAGGGTGGAAACAGAACAGGGACTTTTATTTATCAAATGTGCAATGTCTTGTAGTAAAAGAAGTTACAGTATAAAACTAGGATTAATGTTTTATTTTGTTAGCAAAATATCTCAAAAAACACTGGACAGATTTTAATAAAACTTTCAGAAATTCAGCATTGGATACATCCAGGGCAGACTTGTGACATAGGCAGTATAGGCAAACGCTAAGAGCACCGTCCATCTAGGGGGCGGCACAAATGGGGGATGTAAATTTTTTTTATAAATTTTTATCAAAGTACAGTCAATTTAGTCTGTAGAATAATCACTGGTTACGCAAGTTCACGAAAGTAAGTTGTTCTGCGGCCTTCTCAGCCTGCCTTACAGTCAAGTCTAACTACTGGTGCTTATGGTGAAAAAATAAAGGATAATGCAGTTTCTAAGTATGATTTTCAGATAAATTTCAGGTTAAAAGWATGGTTTTTAGKGTTATAGGAATTTCTTTTGACTGACWGAATTTTAGATACAGTTTTACATCAGTTGTACTCATTTCAACAATGATAGAATCAACATGTCTCTAATTAATGGTAAATGGTACTGAACTTATAGAGCGCTTTTCAAGTCCCTCCGGACCCCAAAGCGCTTTACACTAACAGACACTCACATTCACACAGTGATGATGGCAAACTACACTGTAGCCACAGCTGCCCTTAATATGTGTAACAGCTGAGGAATAAACCTTTATAACTTTGAATGAAACTTGGCTTCCTGCGTAATTATTTGGCATCCAATTTTTGAACATTTTCTTCCTGTGTTCTAGCTTCRTAAAATACTGATTTAAKATTTTATTAAACCCAAGAATTAAGTAAATTGAACTTCACATGGCTGGAAAATGCAGTTTTGTAAGGATTTTTTTTCAAAATTGCCTGGGGGAGTATGGCCCTGGACCCCCCTTGAACTGCTTCATTCCACAGCTGCTCGTTAACATAAGCAGGTGTTCCTCATTGTCTTAATTGGACAACCTGGTTTCTAAAGATAAAAAAATAATATCAAATACAAAACTAATGTGAATGTATGTAAACTGGTAGTGAGATTTAGAAAAATTCACAAGGGGGGCGCCAACCTGTGATCTTGCCTAGGGTGCCAAATTGRCTATGGCCGACCCTGTGTACATTCCCAACTATACATAAACCAGATATTTTACACACGAAGTTATAAATGGCAGCTGATGACATCACAGAACTCACACTCTTCTTTGCAGGATTCAGAAGGTTCTGCAGGAATTTCCCTCCTCCAGCTCCTCCTGCTCCGCTTCCATTCCCTCCACCTGCCCCCTCTTTCTTGTTCCCTTTCTCCTCTCCTATCTTCAGCGTGGAGCACGTCTGCGGTCTGAACAGCGACGCCAAGGACCCCCAAGACTGTAACCCCACCTCTGCACCTCCAGCTCCCACACCCCAGTCCCCCTCTCCTTCGGGCCCCATCAGATCCCAGACGTTGCTGCCGGAGGGCGTTTTGGGCTTCCCTTGGTTCTGGGTTTGGGTCCTGTCCGACTGGAGGAAGCGGGGTTTGACCTGAGCTACGGTCTGCTGGTAGCGCTCCACCGTCTGAGTCCAGAGCTCGAGGAGYGCCCCACCGCCGAGCTCCATGGCTAAGGACCGCGCATCCTGGAAACGCGACGGGGGGATCGGAGGAAGGGACGCCAGAGGACAGGTAGAAGGAGGACTCGATGGTGAGGACGAGGTGGAGGAGACGGCGTCGCACCACTGGGTCGCCTGGCAGAGGGCGGGACAGAAAACATGACTGTTGGGTTTTAAAAGGTGACTGTGCGTTTATGGTGTGGTGCATCTGTGGTGCGTTACCTCGGTCAGAGTGGACAGCAGCCTCTGCGTGTTGTCCAGAGTGGTCCAGCAGTCGGACAGACAGTGGGACATGTCCCTCAGCTTCTCCCTTACGGGAGGAAGTCGAATCTGGACGTCGCTTAGGCCCGACCAGTTCAGCTCGCACCAGCTCTCCAGATCACTGAGGACTGACAGAGTCCCACTGTGCAGCTCCTAAAAGAGGGGTCAGCTAAGACTTGAGACGGGGAACAGAGTCTTGTGTTTTACAGCAMTTGTTTGTGTCACTCACGTTGGCCGTTTCTCTGAACGTCCTGAACTTTTGTTGTTTGAGAGAGAGTCTGCTGAGAGACAGAGGAGGGTCCTTGTAGTCCTCCAGCTGGGACTGCACCTGCTCAATCTCCTTATCACACTGTGGGTTAAAGGCCAACACGGGTTCAGAGGAGGACGTGAGACAATGTGCTGTACATTGGGACAGGGATTAGGACATATACATCAAGCATACAGACAAAAAACTGAATGTTTTGCTATAAGCACATTATTYATTATATAGTAACGTCACATTAAGTGAGACAAGGAAGTAATGACTGATTCTGAGAGGAAATTAAAACAAGACTATTTATAATTATAAGAAACTCAAGAGTTTCCATCTTGTTTATTTTAGGAAAAGAGAAGTGAAGATGTTTGGATTCAGAGCAGTAAGAAGGGGCTGTAGGCCTATAAAGAAGGACAGACACCTTGTTATCAATAAAAGAAATGTGTTTTTAAAATCGTTGTATGATATTTAAGTTCTAACTCAGTGAGTTCCCAAATTGAAGTACTTATACTCGGTTTGAGAAAAACTGTTATCAGGACATGCCTTGTAAGATCTTTAATTACTTAGAGAACTCAGTAAACACAATTTCTTTTTTGGTCCACACCTTTTCCAGTTTGTCCACCAGTCCTGCMAGTCGACCCAGTGCTTCTAGATCTCGACCCTTGTGGTTGGACACCTGGACGAGCTTATGGAGAGCATCGTCCACGCTGTTGTAGAGTTTAGATGYTGTGGTGAGAGCAGCCCTGTAGGAAATAAAGGCACAAATTGTTGTTCATTTAAAAAAAGAAAAGATCCAGTGATACAATCTGATACAACAACCTAAAAACAAAATGTCTGTAACATGCCTATCCATCGAATACAAACAGTCAAAGAAAACACATTTTTATTAAAAAAACTTGCATAAAACTTGATTTTACCCATTTTGACACATAAATGGCACAATTTCTTTTGAACTCGAATCAGCCAAAGTGAAACAGGACGTGACATCAAAGGGGAACTATTTCAGAAATAGAACTCTCTAGTCTTTGTTTATTGAAATTATATTATTTGAACTCTGACTCGTCTTCATCGCTCTTTCATAGTGACTCAAAATAACCTAAAGAGACATCAGATTCTCCTCTACAGTCTGTGTCCTTAGCCATTTTATCAGTGCTCTAATTCATGCAGACATTCCCCTTTGACATCACTTCCTGGAACTTCAAATGCAAATATCTCAATAACTGTTCATCTCAGCAGCGGGATTTTTTTTTGCAATATGTTATTGATGTTATCTTTCCAATAATACCTTTTTATTTATTTTAAAAATTTCATGTCACAGGCACTTTAAAGTCCTGCAAAGAAACAGTGCAGATGGTCCTGAACTTTTGGACTTAACCCATTTCAAGATGGCCCCCGTGGCTAAGCTTAGCTATCACAAAAGGTCTATAGCACAATCAGTGTTTTAGATACTGGACTAAACTTAGATGTGGTAGTAGGCATAGAGTTATTCACAACACATATTTCAAGTATTAACAAACTGAGTGAGATTTTACGACATCATGTGAGCCAGCACATTTTTTTTAAATCAACATAAGATGATCCTAGTTTAAAACTGATAAGAAAGGTGGGGGACGACGTGTTTTATTTAAGGAATGCTAGTATTTAGAGCTACCCGATTTATCATTTGAGCATCGTCATCGTAATGCATGTGTGCGTAAAAGTCACATTGCCGCGATGTAGGAGGTAAATTGGGACTCAACCACTAAACAGCCACGTGTTTCGGCTTTTATTTTGAAGGGTTGCTTCTGCTGGCAGATGTGGGCAGCTTCGTGTCAAATTAAACAGCTAAAACTTTCATTTTGTTGGGAAACTTCTGGGGCAACAATGGTAACATTTTTCRGTAAAATACGGTTAACATAAATTTGGTGGTAAAACACAATTCACATTGATACATGATAGACAGAAACATGTACTCAGGTCCCAGCACAATAAAAGATGATAAGAATAACTCTCAAAGATGAAAAACATATGTGTAACATGCAAAAAAGGGATGAGCATTGGTGCTATTGGAGATACAGTGGTTTGCAAAAGTATTCATACCCCTTGAACTTTTCCATATTTTGTCACATTACAACCACAAACATAAATATATTTCACTGGAATTTAA